CTCGCCTTGAGCTGAAGAGCTGAAGGACAGCGCCCAGGCCCAGAGTTCAAGCCCCACGACTGACACACACACACAAAAAAAGATGTCAAGCATCTAGTCATGCTACTGATCACATATTAAAGAATAGACAACCAGTAGGAGATCATGTGATCTACTCTTTTTAAAAACACTTTAGGGGCTGGGAAGGTGGCTCAGTGGTAGAGTGCTTGCCTTGCATGCATGAGACCCTGGGTTCGATTCCTCAGCACCACATAAACAGAAAAAGAGGGAAGTGGTTGGTGCTGTGGCTCAAGTGGTAGGGTGCAAGCCTTGAGCTGACTAGCTGAGGGACAGCACCAGGCCCAGAGTTCAATTTAGAAAAATCTAACTTTCAGCTGAGCATAGTGGTCCAGCACTTGAAAGGTTGAACCAGGAAGACCACAAATTCTAGGCTAGACTGAGCTAAATAGCAAGACTCTACGTCAAACAAACAAAAAAAGAAAAATAAAATGTTCATATTTAAAGAACTTATGAGAATAGTGATAATAGGATGAAAGTATATGAAGACAGAGACAGAAGGCACAAAGAATAAAAATTCAAGGAACTGAGGTTATAGCTCGGTGCTAGCATGCTTGCCTAGCTATCATGGTGTAATCTCTTGTACAGGGAACACACACATACACACACACACACACAAACACACACAATTTCAATATGAGCAAAGAAAAGAGGGTAGCCATAGTAGAATCTCAATAAATACAGTAGGAGCCCAGCTGTGACATTTCCATAGCAGTAAACATATCTAGAGCTCCATTATCTTGACTTCTAAGTACCACTCCCCACTAAAAGAACTTACAATTTCCTTGGATAACCAACTATATCATATTTGGAGTGGGAAAAGTACAAGATAAGCCTGTAACATTTTGTCGTATCAGAAAATAGGCCATGTTGAAAAGAAGATAAAGTCAAAAGTACACAGAGTGAACTCCCACAGGCCAAATCTGGAACAATTTGTATGAAAAATGCTAACAAAGGACTACAATTCTACTTACTCAGCTGCCCATCAACTGTCCCAATCAATTTTCACATTTAAAAAAAAAGATTTACATATTGCCTTTGGATTTCTTCCTGAACTGAAATCAACATGAACCCAGAGTCAACATAAATTATGTAGCAACAAATAGATATGAAACTGTTGGGTTGGACTGGGAAGTTGGCTCAGTGGTAGCGTGCTTGCCTAGCATGCATGAGGCTCTGGGTTCGATTCCTCAGCACCATATAAGCAGAAAAAAGCCAGAAGTAGTGCTGTGGCTCAAGTGGTAGGGCACTAGCCTTGAGCTGAAGAGCTAAGTGACAATGCCCAGGCACAGAGTTCAGGACCCATGACCGACAAAAAAAAAAAGAAAAAGAAAAAGAAAGAAACTGCTGGGTGCCGGTGGCTCACATTTATAATCCTAGTTACTCAGGAGGCCAAGATTTGAGGATCATAGTTTGAAGCTAGCTTGGGCAGGAAAGTTTGAGACTCTCATCTCCATTAAACTATCCCTCCCCCTAAAAAAAAAGCTCAAAGTGGAGCTGTGGTTCAAGTGGTAGAAAGCTAGCTTTGAACAAAAAGGTCAGGAACAGAGCCCAGGGTCTGAGTTCAAGCTCCAGGACCATCACAAAAATAAATAATTTGTGAAACTAGAAAAATGACAGGTTGAATTCTAACAATATTGTATTTTATACCTATAATATCAGTCATAATCCATCCTGAAAATGATGGGCAACTTTGCTTCCTTTAATGACAGGAATGAAAGTTCCTTTCATCCCCAGAAAGAAATTCATATCAAAATAAAGCAAAAGCATTAAAATGTGTTCACATCCTTTAAGTTTCACTGCCTAAACACATAAAAGGATTATCTCTCAACAAAACAGCTCCATGCAAAATCTTACCAGCTCAATTGTGAAACTTGAGAAAATTTCTATTTAAGAAACTCTGAAAACCTAGATAATTTATCTAATTGTACATAGTGACACAATTGTTGCCTTATTACTCCTGAATACTACTCTGCAGAGGCATTTCAAAGAAACTGAAAATCAGAACTTGAAAATTCAAATATTTACAAGGAACAGCTATCAATACTACTCACAATGCCAGTTTGGGACAAGAAGCTTGTGCCAAGTGACTAACAGATGCACAAGGTAGCAATCTCTGTGTACAGTAAACAGTCTGTGGTTGAGCACTCAATGAGCACATTCAATGAGCACATTTTCAGTAGCTCTGTGAAGATGACACAAATGACAACTTCAAGTTAGGAATGTCAATTGGGTTTTTGCCAGCCCAATTTTGCCTGATCTATAATATTTCTTTTCTTTCCTCTGGTGTTACTAGGATGTGAACTTCGGACCTTAAGCACTCTTACCACATGAGTCACACCTCCAGCCCTCTTTGCTTTAGTTTATATTTTATTTTATTTTATTTTTTGCCATGGGGCCTGAACTCTGGGTCTGGGCGCTGTCCCTCAGCTCTTCAGCTCAAGGCTAGCGCTCTACCACTGGAGCCACAGCGCCACTTCTGGCTTTTTTCTGTTTATGTGGTGCTGAGGAATCGAACCCAGGGCCTCATGCTTGCAAGGCATGCACTCTACCACTGAGCTACCTTCCCAGCCCCTAGTTTATATTTTAGATAGAATCTTAACTGCAATCCTTTTCCTACCCAGCAGAGACAAGCATATATCTCATTCCTGGCCCTATAATACTTTCAAACAAAAAGTAACCTATCTTTTTATATGAAATGTCTCCAATTCTTTTTTTTTTTTTTTTTTGGGTCCGGTCGTGGGGCCTGAACTCTGGGCTTGGGCACTGTCCCTCAGCTCTTCAGCTCAAGGCTAGCACTCTACCACTTGAGCCATAGCGCCATTTCCAGCTTTTTTCCTTTTGCTTATGTGGTGCTGAGGAATCGAACCCAGGGCCTTGAGCATGCAAGGCAAGCGCTCTACCACTGAGCCACCTTCCCAGCCCCTGTCTCCATTTCTTAAAATGAATGAGGATGACTATGGCTAATGAATATGGTTAAAGTTCATTTGCATATATGAAAGATCAATGAAGCCAGGCACTAATGGCTCATGCCTGTAATCCTAGCTACTCTGGAGGCTGAGATCTAAAGATCATGATTCAACGCCAGCCCAGGTAGAAAAGTCCGTAAGACTCTTATCTCCAATTAACTACCTGAAAACCGGAAGTGGTGCTGTGGCTCAAGTGGTACAGCACTTGCCAGGCCGAGTTCAAGCACCCCAACAAAAAACAAAACAAAACAAAAACATGAACTACAACACATAATTTATTGAGGAATTATCCTAACCATCAAAAAATATAAGCCACCAAATAGAGGCAAGAGATAACTGAAGGAATTAACTGAAAAATCAATGAAGACCAGATTCTTAGATTTCATTCGTAAAATGAGTGTTAATTTTTTCCTTCTAAGAAAATGCAGACATTAGTCTGTAGTTTTGTAGGACAAAGTCTAGTCACCCAACTTCACAAGTTAAATATCTAGGTCACATCAGCACCCTGGGACATTCAAACTCCTCAACATAGGCAAGATCTTTTTTCTCCTTCATTTCTGAGATCACAGGGAGCCTAACTAAAATTAGCTCTCACGTGGAAATCAGCAATTTATTCCTTCCATTAGTCTTTGTTATTTGTTTAAAATATCACAAAATAGACTGTGTGAACAGGCTAAAGTCCCATTTCCCCAGAATAACTCCCTGATCTATTACAGGTAATTGCAGCATTATCATAGATGCATTTTGGTAGGATCCATTTCTGTAACCAGGGTTGAAAGAACAATCATCCTCATACTGTAAAAGCTGAACCAGGCCAAAGCCTGCCTTCTTTATTCCAACAATGATCCAGTCATTGGATTGTCACTGAGATGCTAAAAATGATACGATCATCCAGCATGACCAAGCTCTTCAACATCAGATCTATGGCTTAAAAACAAATCAGCTAAGCTTCACTCTATTCAAACTCTATTGACAGAGCTCAAGTAAACTGTAGTCTGCCTCTGTGGAGCTGGTTACTATGAAAAAAAGCACAAGATAAAGTTTAATCGTAATGGTCTGATTTGATTAGGGCTAGCACTGACAGGTGCAGGGAAGAAAAACAGAGAAAGTTATCATTGGCAATATTGATCATCTTAATCATACCAGGATTAATAACAAAAAAGCAATGTATCAATTCTCTATAATACATTGTTATACATACATTATTGTTAACCTTTATGATAACTAGTCATTCTTTTATTACATTCTTTTACTTCTCTTCATTAGGTGAAGAGATTCAGTCTCAGTAAAACTAAGAGAAGTATCTAAAAATCTCAGTTGGTAAGTAGTACTCTCAAATCTGATACTTAAGGATGACTGACTTAAAAGGACCATTGCTTTTCACACCCCCTGCTTCCCTGAAGAGATTACTTAAGAGCTGAACAAATAAATGACATTCCAACTCATCTCAGATCTAATGAATTGCCTGGTATTCCAGTTCCATCATTAACTAAGTTTGCAATTTTGGTGATTATTCTTTCACACATCATAGAGCTAAATAAAAAGCCACTATAAAAGAAGAGCATTGTATCAAGGCAGAAAGTTATTATCAATCCTGTGGAAGGCTTGTAAGCACCTAGCTCTTTGTATACTAGAGTATATTTCCTGTTTCCTATTATAGGTGCCTTCTAAGGATGAATATTGACTTCTAATACTCCCATTCCTTAAGCATGTAATACATTGTGTGTTCTTTTTCCAATAAAGATAGATAACTAGATGACAGATCTTCTATTAATCTAGTCTGCATCTCACGACATTATGTTCACTCAGATCACACTATAATAATATTAACAATGTTCATGTGTTACCTACCTTACTCTTCCATTCAGGTTCATCTGAACATGCTGTTTAAAATCTGGGTATTTGGATGCCAGATATGCAAAGTCAGGAGGTTTGTCCTTGTATCTATTTCTTGCATGCATTGACTTACTCAAAGCCATCTTCAAAAGGAAAAAAGAAAAAAATACACATATTTAGTTTTAAAATATTGATGGGAAAGTTGTGGAAGCCAAAACATCTTTCCAATCAAGAAAGTACAATTTTTTTTTTTTTTGGTGGTCATTTGGTCTGAACTCTGGGCCTGGGTGTTGTCCCTCAGCTCCTCAGCTCCTCAGTTCAAGACTAGCGCTCTACCACTGGAACCACAGTGCCACTTCCAGCTTTTTCTGCTTATGTGGTGCTGAGGAATCAAACCCAGGGCCTCATGCATGCAAGGCAAGCACTCTACCACCACCTTCCCAGCCCAAGTATAAATTTTTTCTTTTTTAATACACAACTAAGCACATAAAAACATTGTCATTAGAGAAACGCAAATCAAAATCACAATGAAATTCCATTGCACACACAATAGGGTAGTTGTCATAAATAAAACACAAAACTTGAAAAATAGAAAGTAACAGGGCTGGGAACGTGGCTCAGTGGTAGAGTGCCTATCTTGCATGCATGAGGCCCTGGGTTCGATTCCTCAGCACCACATAAGCAAAAAGAAAAAAGCCGGAAGTGGTGCTGTGGCTCAAGTGGTAGAGCGCTAGCCTTGAACTGAAGAGCTGAGGGACAGCACCCAGGCCCAGAGTTCACGCCCCACGATTGACAAAAAAAAAAAAGAAAGAAAGAAAAAAAAAAGAAAAAGAAAGTAAGTGTGGGCTGGGAATGTGGCTGAGTGGTAGAGTGCTTGCCTAGTCCTGGGTTCGATTCCTTAGTACCTCATAAATAGAAAAATCCAGAAGTAGTGCTGTGGCTCAAGTGGTAGAGCACTCACCTTGAGCTGAAGAGCTCAGGGCCAGTGCCCAGGCCTTGAGTTCAAGCCCCAGGACTGGCACAAAAAAAAAAAAAAAAGAAAAGAAAGAAAAAAGTTGGATGCCAGTGGCTCACGCCTGTAATCATAGCTACTCAGAGGCTGAGATCTGAGGATCACAGTTCAAAGCCAGCCCGGGCAGAAAAGGCCCTGCGAAACTCTTATCTCCAATTAACCACCAGAAAACCAGAAGTAGTAGAGCGTTCACCTTGAGCTGAAGAGCTCAGATACAGTGCCCAGTCCCAGAGTTCAAGCCCTACAACAAACAAACAAAAAAAAAAGATTGATTTATATTTTTGAAAAAATGCTAAATCTAGTGTCCAGTGACAGAAAGGTTGACTATATATAATGCAGTATACATATACACATATATTCATATATACATTATTCAAACATAGAAAGGAATGAAATTCTCATACATGCTACAACACTGTGCTAAGAAAAATAAGCCAAAAATTAGCCACACATTTACATTTACAACCAACCAATGCATTTACAACCAACAAAAAAATTAGCCACACAAAAGGACAAATATTATATGCTTCCACTTATGAAACACCAGAACAAATAAATCAACAAAGGTGGAGAGCAGAGGAAAATCAGTGAAGTGGTGTTTAATGGGCATTAAGCTTCCATTGGTGATAAGGATTGCAAAACACCCTGAATGTACTTAATGTCACTGGATGGTATACTTAAAATGGTTAACATTTTACTTTCAATTTTTTTTTTTTTGTCGGTTGCGGGGCTTGAACTCTGGGCTTGGGCGCTGTCCCTGCCCTCTTCAGCTCAAGGCGAATGCTCTACCACTTGAGCCACAGCACCACTTCTGGTTTTCTAGTGGTTTATTGGAGATAAGAGTCTCACTGACTTTCCTTGCCCAGGCTGGCTTTGAACTGTGATCCTCAGATCTCAGCCTCCTGAGTAGCTAGGATTACAGGCATGAGCCACTGGCGCCTGGTGACTTTTGAATTTTTACTTAAAATTTTACATTGTTTATTGTACTACAGTAAAAATATACAACACTGCTGGACAATATACTCATAGCAACTCCGGAGGCTGAGATCTGAGGATCAAGGTTCAAAGCCAGCACAGGCAGGAAAGTGTGAGATTTTTATCTCCAATTAACCTCCAGAAAACCAGAAGTGGAGCTGTGGTTCAAAGTGGTAGAGCACTAGCTTTGAGCAAAAGAGCTCAGAGACAATGCCCTAAGCCCTGAGTTCAAGCCCCATAAATAATGAGAAAAAAAAAATTTGCCAGACACTGTTGCTCAAAGCCTGTAATCCTAGTTACTCAGGAGACTGAGAGCTAAGGATCACTGTTGGAAGCCAGCCAGGACAGGGAAGTCCATGAGATTGTTACCTTTAACTACCAAAAGGCTGGAAGTAGAGGTATGGGGCTCAAATTGTAGAGTACCAGCCTTGAGTAAAAAAATTAATGGAAGCCAGGTGCCAGTGGCTCATGCCTGTAATCCTAGCTACTCAGGAGGCTGAGATCTGAGGATTGCAGTTCAAAGCCAGCCCGGCAGGAAAGTCCATGAAACTCTTATCTCCAATAAATCACCAGAAAACCGGAAATGGCGCTGTAGTTCAAGCGGTAGAGGGCTAGCCTAGTTCAAGCGGTAGAGGGCTAGCCTTGACTTGAATAGCTGAGGGACAGAGCTCCAGCTCAAGCCCCATGACCGACAAAAAAAAGAAAAGAAAAGAAAAAAGATTAAAGGACAAGGTCTAGGCCCTGACTTCATGCCCCCTGGACAAAAAAAAAAAATTCATTCTTTTAACAGTATCAAAGTAGGCTGAGGGTATATTTAGCGGTAAATCACTTCCTAGCTTGTATAGGCTCTAGATTCAATTCCCAGTTCCCAACCTGAAAGTGACAGAAGGCAAGATTATTAGTCACGGTTCAAGTTGCCTTGCAATGATTAAATACTGAGTCACTGAACTTTGCAAAAATCTCTTCTATCCCAATTTCTTTATCCAGATTACAAAATGGAAAAAAGCTAATGTGATTCTATGGAAAAATTAAAATGAAGAAAAACTATAGTGTTAGTTTACCTAATCTCCGGGTCATTGGTTTGTTGTTGTTGTTGTTGTTTTAATACTGGGATTGAATTTTGGGAGTCAAACAAATTAGGCATCTGGGCATCAGTGGCTGTAATCCTAGCTACTCAAGAGACTGAGATCTGAGGATCACAGTTCAAAGCCAGCCTGGGCAGAAAAATCCATGAGACTCATCTCCAATAAACCACCAGAAAATTGGAAGTGTCACTGTGGCTCAAGTGGTAGCAAGCTAGCTTTGAGCTGAAGAGCGCAGGGACAGCGCCCAAGCCCAGAGTTCAAGCCCCACGACCAACAACAATAACAAAAAAAATTAGGCATGTGTCTACACGAAGTTGCACCGCAGCCTCAAGTTGGCAAATGAAAAAATATTTTAGCATATATCCATTTCTAGGTATACGTGACTTTCCCCCTTGTTATATGTATTTTCCACTTTTAACAATATTCACCTAAATAAAGCAAGCCAGAAATCTAGCTATTATCTGATAGCTCTCTCTCCTTCATATAGCTCATAAATCCTAAATTCTGTGTTCACCTGCTAAATACCTCAAATCCATCTCTTTTCCCACCTCTACAAGCAGTCCAGTACAAGACACCTAGAATACTGAGGCACTCATTCTCACCACTGCCCTTCCACTTGGCAGTGATTTTTTTCTTTTCTTTTGAAACAAAATCTGGCTGTTTAACATAGTCTCCAACTTATGATCCTCCTGTCTCACCCTCCTGAATGCTGGAATTATAGGTATGCAGCATCATATCCAGCTGAATCATTTATTTTTGTCATTCTGGGAATTGAGCCTAGGGCCTTGGGCATACTAGGAAAAACTGGGCTACATCCTGAGTCTTTGTTTTTTTTTTAAGATATAACTCAAGACTGATCTGGAATTTGCTATGAAGCCAAGCTGGCCTCAAACTCAGGAAGTTTCTTGCTTCCAGGTCCCCAGTGCCGAACTTGCAGACATATAACATCACGTCACACAGTAATTATTTCTAAACACAAATCTCAGTATGTCCTTCAGTATCTACTTACTCAAAGCCTTACTCTTAGATAACAGCAAGTATTACTTCAACATATATACCAGATCCTACATGATCTAGCCTTACCTATCTTTTTACCCTCAGCTTAAGTCAGACCTCTTGCCCTTTCTGCTCCTCCATTCATGTCAAAGGCCTTTACACAGGCCATTCCTTTTGCTTGTTTTTGTATTTCTGTGCTGAGGACTAAACTCAGGGCCTCGTGCTTGTTAGCAAGCTCACTGCCACTTGAGCCACATCACCAGCCCCAGGAGATACCTTTAACTGTACTGTTCTTAACTTTACCAGCTCATCCTTAGGATCATAGTTCAAGCATCTCTTTTTCCAAAGGCTCTTCTTTCCCTAAGTCAACAGTTGAGTCATAATCCCCTATTATTAAGTATCCTAGCAATAAGAACCTTTCCTTCACCAGCTTCTTTAGAGATGCAATTTTACACAGTAATAAACATTAACAACCTATTTCAGGTTTTCTGACAGCTTCTATGCTGGCAATTAGCCAATCTCAAAAGAGAACCATTGTCCTCACTCCAAATCTTTCCAAATTACACATCTAACTGCCTATTATATTTCTCACTTCAATAGCCAAAAAGCACTTTATATACATGTCCAAAATTAAGTCATGTCTACCAACTCCACACTGGTCCTCTCCTAATTTTTCCTATGCTACTGAATGGCACTACCATCTTTCCTGTGACATACTAGCCAGAATTCTTTAGTACTTTCCTTGTCCTAATTATTTCTTGATACTATCCAACTTTTCATCCCTATAAATCCACTTATCTGGCCAGACAAAAAGAGTCTCATAACAGTTCTTGCCCCTTGCAATCCACTTTTTCACCCAGAAGACAAGCCTGTCCCCATCTCTCAATGCAAATCTGAACATTCCCTTGCAAAATTCCTTCAGCAGCTTCTTAAAGCTGTTCAAGTCTAAAATCATTAACAAGGCCTACAAGACGTGGGCCTTGCCTACCTCATCTGTTGCCATTTTCCCCTACCTACACTATGCTCCATGTAACATGGTCTGCTTTCATTTTCTCTGCCACACAGTGGGGTATCTCACCGTCTGCTATCCTTATGTCTGCAAGAATCTCATCATCTTCCACTGTCACCTTTCACTAAACTCTGAAGACCCATTAGGCCTTTAAATTATACCCTAACAATCACTTTCTCAAGTAAGCATTCTCTCATCTACACAGCCCATCAAGAGCCCACTCTATATGCTTTTTCTTTGCAGTACTGGGATTTGAACTCAGGGCCTCCTGCTTCCCAAGCAAGCAGTCTATCTCTGGAGCCATCCCCCCAGCCTCTATTCTGTTTTCAAAGCACCCCATTCTTTTCCATCCTTACAGTGGCTGTGAGTGTAATTATTTCACTTACATCACACACACACACATTCTACATTTGGGTAGTCCCACTTTATTCTTTTTTTTGTTCAGTCATGGGGCTTGAACTCAGGGCCTGGACACTGTGAGCTATTGCTCAAGACTAGCACTCTACCACTTAGAGCCAATGCACCACTCCAGATTTTCTAGTGGTTGACTGGAGTTAGAGTCTTAGGAGCTTTCTTGCCTGGGCTGACTTTGAACCACAACCCTCATATCTCAGCCTCCTGAGTAGCTAGAATTATAGACATGAGCCACCAACACCCAGCTCCCACTTTATTCTTCACTGTACTCCCAGCAACGGGTATACAATAAATATTTCATTAAGTGAATATTAAAAGTCACTTGGGGGCTGGGAAGGTGACTCAGTGGTAAGAGTGCTTGCCTTGCATGCATGAAGCCCTGGGTTTGATTCCTCAGCACCACATAAGCAGAAAAAGCCGGAAGTGGCACTGTGGCTCAAGCAGTAGAGCACTCACCTTGAGCTGAATCGCTGAGGGACAGCACCCTGGTCCAGAGTTCAGGCCCCCACAACTGACAAGACCAAAAAAAAGAAAAAAATGTCTTGCAAGTTTTTTTGTTTTTTTTTTTGTCGATTGTGGGGCTTGAACTGAGCCTAGGGGCTGCCCCTCAGCTCTTCAGCTCAAAACTAGCACCCTACCACTTGAGCCACAGCACCACTTCTGGCTTTTTTCTGCTTATGTGGTGCTGAGGAATCGAACCCAGGGCCTCATGCATGCAAGGCAAGCATTCTCCCACTGAGCCACCTTCCCAGCCCCTCACTTGGAAGTTTTTAAGCAGTGAGTTACTATCTTTAACTCCTCACACTATCACTAAAGCACACTATTCTCTAAGGACTGTGTGTGTGAGCGTGTGCATGTGTGTGTGTGTTGGTTTTCTGTGAAAGACTTCACAATGTAGCTCAGACCAGCCTTGGTCTCGAGATCCTTCTGAGTGATGAGATTACAATTGTACACCACCAAGCCTGGCTTATATATCAATTTTAATTTCCTAACATAACATTGCCTTTACAGATCATCAGGAAATAGAAGGGCATAAAACTAGAATAGATCCCAGTCCCCAAGAAAATAATAAAAAAGACTATGTTTTCCTTTCTTGTAATTCTGAACAGAAACTAAAAGACAATTTCAAGGGGTACTGCTATATTAGGGCTCTACAACTTATTCTGAGTGACATGGTTCAAAACCAGCAGGAAAGTCCTGGAGACTCTTATCTCCAATTAACCATCAAAAAGCCAGAAGTGGAACTGTGGCTCAAATGGCAGAGCGCCAGCCTTGAGCAAAGAAGCTCAGGCACTGAGTTCAAGCTTCAGTACAGCACAACTCCCCTCCTCCCGCCCCCCAAAAATACATATATGAAACAAATTAAGTTTCAGATGGACAACTCCATTACTTATTCTGTTCAAAATATAGGAAGAGTAAAAAAAAAAAAATTTCTTTGCTCTTTTATGGGAGGAGGGGCCTAGAGATTGAACCTAGAATTTCATACATGTAAGCATGAATTCTATCAATGAGCTCCTACATTGCAGCCTAACTTACTTCCTAATACAGGCACTGAAGTTTTAGCTGAAGCTGTTTCATGCCTCAAAGTTAACTTGGATGTCAACTCTTACCTGGCACTCTCCACTCTTAACTTTTCCTTACTCCTGCTCTAGCCACAGTGACCTCTTCCCTGTTGCTTCAAGTCTGCCACAAGCCTTAAGAATTTTGCTCTTGCTGTCGTTATTCAGTCTGCGTAGATTGTTCTTCCACCAGTACAGACATTGAAGGCATCTTACCTTGTTCAGGCCTTTAGCCAAACATCACCTTCCTTCTCATTAACATCACATGTAAATATGCAGAATGAACATGCTCCTCGTTCGCTTTCTAGCTATCTTCCACACAGAATTTACCCATCTGACATTCCATATAGTCTACACACAAACACACACACACCACACACACACACACGAAGAAGCTCTATCCTACCAGTAAGCTTTAAAAAAGGCAAAGTGTCTCTTTTTTCACTGTTTACATCCCATTGCTTTAAACAGAACCTGGGCAAGGCGGGCACTCAACTAGTGTTGACTGAAAATGTTATGAAACACTTTTCACAGTCTATACTACTGAAACATAGCATTGTCATTGGGACTTAGCTGTCTGTCCCCTTCTTAAGTCTCAAAAAAATATTTTTTTAAGCCCAACCCAAGGGAAGGCACCTTTTCTTTTAGTTGACCAGAGTCAGTTCAGAACGCTATAGTAGTAGCGGCAGTTCAGAAAAATTGATGCTTCGACCTTCTTTGATCTTTCTCGTTTCCATGCTTCGGTTCCCTTGGTGCCTCAACCTTTTATATTTTAATTTCCTTTAATACAGAAGCCAAGAAACGGTCCAATTCTGCTTCTGGCACGTCAAATTCCTTCTCACTAGATCTTACCGTCCTCGACTCTGGCCTCCGTTTTCTCTTCTCGCCCTCCCCCATCAATTCGGCTTTTTCCCTCTTGTTCTTGCCCTGCCTGTCCCCCCGCTACTCCTACTCCTGCCTCCTCAGTAGGTCTTCAGCTTCAGCTTCAAATGTCTTCTCAACATCTGAGCACACTCCCGCTCCGGGGTCTCTCCTTCAATCCCCGTCTCCATTCCCATCGCCAACTCCGCCCACCAGCCCACCCCAACACGCCCGCCCCAGGAAGCCCGCTCCGAACCCCCAAGTCAACACCTCTCGGGCCCCAAATCCAACACGGACCCCTGGGCCTACGCCGTTCAAGATCGCATCCCGCAGAGAAGTTCAATGACCCACCTCTGAGGCCGACGTTCCCGCTCGACAACAACGGGCCTGGCGGGGGCTCGTTCAACTCCGAAATATTAATCCCCACAGCGCCCAGCTCTTAGAAATGCAGATGCTACGCTCCCGGCGCGCCGCCATCTTGGAGAGCCATCTGGCCTCGTGATTGGACTAGTCAGTCTCGCGTGACCTCCAGCTTAGCTGGGGGAGGCGTGCTATCGCGATAACTGGAGCTTACCAACGCTTTAGACCAGAAGGTGTGGGTGTGGCGGCCAGTCTAGAGGTGGATTCTGCGGTCTGGGCCGGATGGTCTCTGCACTCGGCTGGAGAACTTGGTTTTTCGTTTTTTTCTCTTTGTTCCGGGCTTTCTAGGCCCCAGTTTAGACTTAGTAAATCATCTTCTCTGGGATTGTGGGCGGAGGATGAGGAAGAGAGACTTTTGGGCTTGTTGGTGGGCAACAGGTCTCTGTGATACCACCTTTAATGGTCGCAGGTCAAACAACTTGAGAGGCTGGGAAAGCACCTTAGTTACAGAGGAAGAACAGACGATGTCAGGCCGTTTATTTTTGTTTGCTGGTCCTGGGGCTTGACTCAGCACAGAATTATTTCTTAGCTATTTCCCTCAAGTTTGGCGCTCTGCTACTTGAGCCACACCATGTCCGACCTCTTGCTAATTAATTGGAGTTAAGAACCTCACAGACGGCCAGAAGCCAGAGCTGGTTTCAAACCATGATCCTCAAATATCAGCCTCTTGAAAGGCTAGGAATGCAGACATGAGACACCAACGCCATGCCTTTTATGGCACACATTCAGGTTGCATCAAGTCCTCATTTTTTTGTACTTCCCCTCCAGCTTCTTGAACTGGAAACTTAGTTAATGCCTTTCATTTTCTTCTCAACTTTGGTTACTCTTTATGTTTAGCCTTTAGTAATAAACTTCAGTATTCCAATTTTACAGCTGAGATATGAAAGTTAATGACTTCCAAAGGCTGACTACTAGGGCTGGGAATGTAGCTCAGACTTGAGCACTTCCTAGCATGCTGAAGGCCTTAGATTCCATCTACACCACACCCCAGGACTCCCTACCTCCTAAAGACATACAATCAATAAGCTAGAACTAATGAACTTCCCAAGACCAAGAACTTCCTAATATTAAAACTGAGAGATGGAGTAATTGGAAGTACAGTGTGCTTTTAGCATGAAGTTAGATTCCCTAGCGCCATGAAAACAAAGCAGAAATGGTTTGCGCATATGCTAGAAATTAATGCAAAATTTTCTGGCAAACTGTTGCCCTGACAGTTGGAGAGAGCAGAGAATAAGGAATGAGACGTCAGCAGAAATCTTATGTAGAACCAAGTGTACCAGTAGTATCCTATGAAAAGTTTTTTCTAGGTGTTACACAACAAATCACTATCATAAAATCTATGAGTTGACACAAGAACTATTTTATTTACTCAGTTGTGCAATCTGGGCTGTAATTATTGCAGCTATTTTGCTGTTCTTTTCAATGACCCTAGAATGTATTAGGAGCTGCCTCAGCTGAAAGTGTGGAGCAGCTCCTTGTACTCCTCGATCTAACCTCTGTGTAGCTTTTCTTCACAATCTCCCAAGCAGGACAGTCAGACTTCAGATATGTTGACTTGAAGCTTCCAAAAGGGCAAAAGTGAAAGTCATTAGGCCTTCTTTAAGTCTTATGTCAAGAACTGACACTTCCACCATATTCTGTAGGTGAAAACAAGTCAAATGGCCAGCCTATATAAAAGGGAAGAGATAATTCCAAGGTATCTTTCAGATTGCAAAGGCATGGTTCTGTGGGGCTACCAATTTAACATGAGGACTTTATTTTTATTTTTTCGTTTGTCTTTCCTTTGGTACTGGGGGGGAAGTTTTTCTAATTTGAAATGACTTTTAGTACTAGTTACTATTGGAGTCGTTGGTGTTTTGGAGCGTGAGAGAGAGAGAGAGTGTGTGTGTGTGTGTGTGTGTGTGTGTGTTTTAAGATGAGATCTCACTATATTGCCCAGCCTTTCTGGATTACAGTTTGGATTACAAGTTTTTGTGTTTCCTTCTGAAAAGCTGAAAGAGAAAATGGCCTTGGAACGATGACTGGTGGAGTTGAAGTAGACTGTATCTAAGATGTAGGAGAACAGGGAGTAGGACTCAAATAATAGAATGCCTCCTTAGCAAGTATAAAGCCTTGAGTTCAAACCTCAGTACCACCAAAAATAAATAATAATAATGGTAGAAGCATGTTAATTGCAGCATTGTTTACCATAACCAAGATACAGAATCAACCCAGATGCCCCTCAATGGATGGATAAAAAAAATATGCTATATATAGATACATACACACACATATATACAATGGAATTCTGTGCTTCCATTAGAAAAAATGATATTGCATCATTCATAAAGAAGTGGAGGGGCTGGGAAGTTGGCTCAGTGGTAGAGCACTTGCCTTGCATGCATGAGGCCCTGGGTTCGATTCCTTAGCACCACATAAGCAAAAAGAAAAAAGCCGGAAGTGGTGCTGTGGCTCAAGTGGTAGTGTGCTAGTCTTGAGCTGAAGAGCTGAGGGACAGCGCCCAGGCCCAGAGTTCAGGCCCCACAACCGGACCAAAAAAACAAAAACAAGAAGTGGAAAGACATGGAAAAAATTATTTTTTGGTACAGTTGTGGGGCCTGAACTCTGAACATTGGATAGTAAAAGACAAAAAAATACACTTGGACATGACAAATTATACAGGACTCTAGACATTCACACAGTGAGACCAAAGAAAGATACTCTTAGGAGAGGATCACAAGGGCTCAATGGCTATGTGCATATGATCTTATAAAAGTATACTTACCGGGGCTGGGAAGGTGGCTCAGTGGTAGAGCGCTTGCCTTGCATGCCTGAGGCCCTGGGTTGGATTCCTCAGCACCACATAAACAAAAAGAAATAAGCCAGAAGTGGCGCTGTAGCTCAAGTGGTAGAGCGCTAGCCTTGAGCTGAAGAGCTGAGGGACAGTGCCCAGCTTTCCCTCAAAAAAAAAAAAGAAATTTAAAAGTATACTCATCAAAATAAGCTCCAAGAGGACTGGGAAGGTGACTCAGTGGTAGAATTCTTGCCTTGCATGCATGAAGCCCTGGGTTCAATTCCTCAGTACCACATAAACAGAAAAAGCCAGAAGTGATGATGTGGCTCAAGTGGTAGAGTGCTAGTCTTGAACAAAAGAAGCTCAGGGACAGTGCCCAAGCCCTGAGTACAAGTACCAGAACTGGCAAAAAAAAAAAAAAGTCTCAGACTTTCCAGGCTGGCTTTGAACCATGATCCTCAGATCTCAGCCTTGTGAATAACTAAGATTACAAACATGAGTCTCCAGCACCAGGCTTTGAGATCAATATACTGCTAAAGAAAAAATTGCATCTTGTATCTGAATCCAGATATATTTGCTAAGGATTTTCCTTTTCTTTTTTTTTTTTTGGGGGGGGGGGGTCCAGTCATGGGGTCTGGGCGCTGTCCCTCAGCTCTTCAGCTCAAGGCTAGCACTCTACCACTTGAGCCACAGTGCCACTTCCAGCTTTTTTTTCTGCTTATGTGGTGCTGAGGAATCGAACCCAGGGCCTCAAGCATGCAAGGCAAGCACTCTACCACTGAGCCACCTTCCCGCTCATTGCTAAGGATTTTCAAGAGAACAGGATTAGAGCCAAGCATCAATGGCTGATGCCTATAATCCTAGCTATTTAGAATGCTGAGATCTGAGGAGAATAGCCCAAGCAGAAAAGTCTATGAGTGGCTGTCTCCAATTAACTACCAAAAAGCTGAAAGTGAAGCTGTCATACAAGTGGTAGGCCACTGTCCTTAAGCAAAAAAAATTCAAGAACAGGGCCTAGACCCTGATTTTAAGTCCCAGGAGCAGCACAATAATAATGAATGATTAATATAAATCTTTAGATGAGAATAATCATACAGGTGGTTTCTATGCTCATCAAATGCCTGAGAGACCAGAATCAACTCAAAATAACATACAAATTAGAATCATCATGAAGTAAAGATGATTTCAAGTCTAGATGTATGCTCCCTTAGCCTTCAGGAACCTACTACTAAGATAAAATGCCTTACAGAGTATAATACTCATGAAGAAAGGTTATAGCTACATTCTCAAGTACCTCTAAAAAAAAGCCCAACAATAACCCAAAATGCTGTAGTACTAAGTGTTAGTGTTATGCTCACCTTTGGTCTTCAGCTCACCCAGACCTGGGCCACCCTCCTGTTCCTGGAGTTCACTCCATACAGCTGGCTTCTCCCTCTCTCCATCCAGACCCACCTGAACTCCCATCTACCTCACTTCTATCTCTCAGACCCTCCTGCTGCCTGGATGGGGACGGAGGCCATGTGTTCCCTCTTGGGGGAAATATGGCTCTTCTAATAAACCTTATAATAATCTTTCTCCTGTGCCAGCCTGCCTCTGCGTGGTCCCCTGGGATGGATGTGTGCGATCCTCCTCTTTCACTGAAGAACGTAAAAAAAAAAAAAAAGATATATATATATATATATATATATGACAGCACCTAACACCCATTTTTGCTTCTGTATGAATTGCTTTGTGCTAGATGGTTGTATGGTTTTTGTATGATTTTAACTGACTGGTTTTAGTTACTCAGTAGTGGAATGTCAGCCTGGTAGCCTAGAGTTGCTTAGTAAAAGACTTCAAAGGGTTTATAGCCCTGACCAAGGGGGCAAAGTCCTCAGAATTATCCCCCACAGCTGCAACGCCCCTCCGCCCCTCCTGGAGGCCGAGGCAGTAAGGCCCTAGGGAAGAAATATAATGTTTTAAGAAACCTAAGCAACTCCATTTTTGTTTAACACTCCATCTCAGTTCTGCGACTTGACTCGTGATCCACTTTAGCCCCAATACTAGGAATTTATGACAGAAAGCCATGCACAATCTTGGAGCCATAGATGGCGTTTGCTTAAGGCAGGTGTTAGCCCCCAAATGGTGTTGCTCCCCTTACCCCTTAGCCACCTAGGACTGGCTAAGAGTTTCTAACCAACCAGTTCTTCAGAGCCCGGGGTGAGACATGCCATGCATTCTGTTGGTCCGGGTGTGACTGGTAACCTTGGGTGTGAATCGTAACCTTTTTCCAGT